ATTTGTCATCTCTCTCTCTCCCTTTTTACTCTTTCTCTTGTTCTATCCCCTCTCCCCTCCCCTCTCTTTCTCTCTCTCTCTCTCCCTCTCTCTTCTCTATCTCTCTTTCTCTTCTCTCCCCTGTACTTTTGCTAAAATTCCTACTTGTGCACATACATTGCCAATACATAGATTTCATACTGTATCTAAGTTATCGGTAATCAATTATGCCACAAAATAATAATGTACTGGATTGTCTAAACATAATATGATTTAGCCACACTATATCAATGGCACTGAATGTAATATATTGATAAATGATATTGGATAAGTAATAAAATGCAGTAAGTAAGTAGGTAAGTAATTACTATCAATGATATAAATAGTAATACTAATGATTATAATAATAATAAGCTCATTTGGTTAATAATCTTTCGGATAATATTAATTTCTAGGATGACGATGTTATGTATGTATTTGATTTCATTATGTGTATGTTTATATTGTATTACTTGTATCAACCAGCGGAATTCAAATTTCCTGATATGGACAAATTTCAACAGAAGTCAGGATTATAAATTGAATAAAGAATGGAAGATTTAAATATACCTTCTGTATCTCTGATCTCTTTGTATGATGTGAAATATATAGGAGAGACATGGGAATACGATGAGAGAGAGAGAGAGAGAGAGAGAGAGGGGGAGGGAGGAAGGGAGAGGGAGAGAGAGAGAGAGAGAGGGGGAGGGAGGAAGGGAGAGAGAGAGGGAGAGAGAGAGAGAGAGAGGGGGAAGGAGGAAGGGAGAGGGAGAGAGAGAGAGAGAGGGGGGGGAGGAAGGGAGAGGGAGAGATGAGAGAAACTGATTAGTAATGATTAAGAGAAAAACAAAAGAGAGGAGCAAAAAGCAAGATGTTAAGAAAACTTTAAAACATGAGTGAGAGAAGAGGGTTTTTTTAAAGGGGGGGGGGGAGCATGGGAAACGGTGATAACTGGATGACTTTGGAGGGAGACTGAATGGGAAGATGGAGAAAGGAAAGGAGGATCACAAATAAGGAGATAGAGCGGGGGGGGGGGGAGAGCAATGCTGAAGAGAGATTCGAGGAAGGGTGATGAAGGAAGAGGGGGTTCGGGGATGGGGGCAAATATAGAGAGATAATGGAGATGGATGATAGGGGGGGGGTGAGAGAGAACGAGCAGGAGAAACGGTAATAGGGTGAATTGGTGATATATAGAGGTAAGAAACATTAATTATTGTAAAAAGACTGAGAGGAAAGGGAGTAGAAATATGGAGGAATGAAACATGAGCTAGAGAGAGAGAGAGAGAGAGGACAGTAATGGGATTGAAGAGAGAATGGAAAGATTGAGAGGAAGAGAGAGAGAGAGAGAGAGAGAGAGAGACACTAAAGGGATTGAAGAGAGAATGGAAAGATTGAGAGGAAGAGAGAGAGAGAGAGAGAGATGTCGGATACAAAAATAAATGGATAAAAGAAGGAAGGGATGGTAATATATATATAGATATATAATTTTTTATACTAGGGATGCATGCAGAGTGACTAAGAAATGATAGAAATAGAGATAGATCGATAGAGACGGAGAGAAAGTGAGAGAGAGGGCCGGGGATCGGGCGGGGGGGGGGGAGGAAATGAGGGAGACACATACCGGGACAGAAATAAACGGAATAGTGTAGGAATGAGAGAGAGAGAGAGAGGGGGGGGGGGGTAAGAAAGATGATTAGAGATCGATAAAATACATAAGAAGAGAGAGGGGGAGGGGTTGGAGTTAAAGATAGTGAAAGAGAAAGGAAGAGAGAGAGAGAGAGAGAGAGAGAGAGAGAAAAAAAAAAACATTTTAAAAAGACAGAAAAGCAGTGAGTGGCATTGTAAATGAGCATTATATTTCTTATTTCACCATTAACCCTCAAAAAACGAATTTTTTAATGGATTTATCAATTTATTCATAACAAATTTCACTAACTGGTAGACGATATAGGCTGCATATAGCCCTTTGAAGATTAACAGAACAATTGGAAGAAGAAGCACCTCAGCCATGGGCGTATACGGCCATATTTTCACTAGGGGCGGATGAGGCCTCTTGCCACTAGAAAGATAACTTAGGGGGGGGGTTGAGCCCAAACCCTTTTAGAACCGCTTCTAATATGTTTCTATTTAGAACCAATGCGTAGTCTCAATAAATGTACTAACTTTTCTAAGAGTGCACTGATGAATACTTCAATTCATTATGCAACTAAACATAATAACTAACACTTCATATTTATTCCCCCACGTTATTGTTTGGGGAAAACCCAGTAATTCCCAAAAAACAATTTACCCCTTCTTTTGAAACTCACTGTTCAATAAAATTGAAAAAAATGTTTTTTGTTTTTTTGTTATGCTCTCTTAAAGACAAGTTTATAGAACAAAGGGTTTTTACTTGGGAACCACTAATACGGATGGGGTCCACAGACCTGTTCTAGGGCCCCGTCAGCTTGCAGAGGCAAGCCCGAGGGTCGAGGGGCGGAGCCTTCCAGATAGCCGTCTGCGGTAGAAACACACCCTCTCTCCTAACAACAATTTTATAGAACGTACAACAGGTTGTTTTGAGGTCCAGGGGCCCGCCTTAGAGCCCCTGCCGGGGCAGAGCCTTTGCTAGGGAGCCCCGAAGTTCTTCAGTTTTTAACAATTTATTTTAGAACCTTTAAGATGGCTGGCACGAGTGATAGAAATTGTAATTTTCTCCTTGAAATTAACTAGCCTTTATCATTTCATTTTTAGAAAAAATGATCTCTCTCTCTCTCTTAAAAAAAAAACTATTTTGCATAAATTATATTAACTGTGTTTTGTACTGTTTTATTTTCCTCCGAAGTCTTCGTAGGCCCATGTCAAGTAAACTCAACGAAGGAAATCTATATGTGTAAATTTAGGTTTAATGTTTTTATTTCCTGTTCTCTCTCTCTCTCCCCCCCCCCTCTCTCTCTCTCTCTCTCTCTCTCTCTCTCTCTTCCTCCCCTCTCCCCCTCTCCCTCCTTCTCTCTCTCTCTCTCTCTCCTTCTCTCTCTCCCCTCTCTCTCTCTCTCTCGTATATATCTCTCTGCACTCTTATTTCTACGGAGTCAAATTTCACTCTAAATGGCGTCAGCTGGGAGTCAACTCTATTCCTAGTTAAAGTGACACGGATTCCGAATCAATTTGACTCGGATTGTGTGGCATCAGCTGAGAATTGACTCAATTCAGAGTCAAGATGTCTCCTTTTCCGTGTCACTTTAACTAGGAATAGAGTTGACTCCCAGCTGACGCCATTCAGAGTGAAATTTGACTCCGTGGAAATAAGAGTGTGTGTTTCTCTCACTCTCTCTATACCTCTCTTTCATTTTCATCTCTTCTCCTCTTAACCTTCTTTTCTATTTTTTATTTCCGTCGCTCTCTTCCCCCTTTCCAGGCCGCCGAAAAGGAGTGCATGGCCGAATCGCCCCCTGGATCCGGCACTGACATGACAACAATCGTTATTGGAGACCCTGAAAACTGTCTCACTAATGACCGATTTCAATCTATAGCTATAGTGTTAAAAAAAAAAAGGGAAAAGACAAAAGGAAAGCTAGCCTATGAGACGGTGCAGATGAAGTGCTCTGATGAAAGAGACTTTCTGTCATAATACCAGATCATGCAACAATAATGATTATAATATTATGATAATTGTGATTTACAGCGTACTTGTTCCACACCACACTAGCAGAAGACTGAACTGAACTGAACTTTCTACACTATTATAGCTGTGTAACCCGCACTTCGCTGAGATAGGTGAGCCAAGTCATGACTCGAAAACAGAAGTCTGGAAAGACAGACCCCCCCCCCCCCCCCCTCCATCAGTAAAAGTGAGCCATGAGATCAAGTTCGATGCTGCATTAAAGAAGGAACGCCGTGGCGTAGATAATCTGTCAAAATTGAAGAGCGCCATCTAAACCCCAACAACAACATTGCTGAAAAGAGCCGGGGATTCCCCTCATTCATTCGCGCGCTCAGTGACCCACCGAACTGTACAGTCGCCATTGTATGTGCACATGCACGTCCTGTACTGCCACGCCACCTCGCCTAGCTTTCGAGTTCGATTCAGTGATTGATCTTAGTAAATTTGAGGATCTTTCTTCAGTTTCAGTAGATTTAGATTGAAGTCGCTCTGTAGACGAAATGCTACTTTTGTAAACTGAAGTGAAACAAGGTTAGTGTATTTACTATGATCTACATAGGGTCGTTCTAGATCTAAATCTACCTTGTTGTTCCTTGTTGTTGTTGTTGTTGTGTTTTGAGTTATTGGCAATTAGTCAATAATTGTGTTGTCGTATGTTGTCGTATGGTGAAGTGTGCATGACGTCATCAAATATCTATTTTTAGAATTTCTCAATTTTTTTTCGTATTAAATGAAAGCAAATTTAATATGCATAAATCTTTGTTAGAAGCATTTCATTCACCTGTTACAAATAATTGTACTTCAATAGTCAGAATGCAAATTGCATGTAGACCGTATTCCATGATGTTGTTAGGTAGTCTAGGACAAGAAATCATGTTTGTCCTACCTACATGTAGCAACAACTAATGTTTGCAATTCACATTCTGATTATTGAAATAAAATTATTATAACGAGGCACTTAACAAAGATTTATGCATTAATTTGATTCCATTCCTGTGCCTCTTCTTGCAGCTGCTGGGCCGAGGGGCCTTGAATGCACTCCTGGGATCTCTATAAATATGGTGCAATACATGATGTTGCTCATTGCATGCTCGGAAAGAAACCTGCACGTGTGCCCTGATTGTCTACTAAAAAACAAAATCACAACATCATTGTTTTCTGCCCAAATATAGCATTTCGTGAATATTAACCCTGCGAGGCACAGCTTCTTGGCTGGTCCCAGCCATTCATTCCAAAGGACGGGTTTCAGGAGGCATGGGCGAAAAAGTTTATGGTGTTGAAGTAAAGCACCCAAAACCTTAAGCTATTATAGATGTAGTGAATTGAAACTCTCAGGGATAGTTACTCCATCTGTTTTGTATACCTAATATTTATATTTTTGAATGTTTTTTTCAGATACTGTCGTCCATGTGATATCACCATTTTCCAGAGGACTAAATCTCTGTAGAGTGAGAAGGACATCTTACACCATGGATGGATTCTGCCCCCGATTCTGCCTTCTCTATCTGCTCCTGATCCTCTTGATGAGATCTGGTGACATTGAAACCAATCCAGGTCCTAACACTGCAGTAAGGTATGCATATACTAGTAGTACACTTCAGGGTTAACGATGATGTTCTTGGCCCTAGCTGTTTCATAAACCTTGTTATCATAACAAGTTACAATAACTGTTATAAGCTACTAGAATAAGCCAGTTCATGGTTGCTGTCTGAGCATGAGCAGATAAAGGTCATTGCAGAACAAATTGTGAAAGACATGGAGATGAAATACCGGATACGTGCTCATGGAAGTTATGTAATCAATATTTATTTATGCACAAGCAGTGCACTCCATGATACACAGGTGGAAGTATTCTTTGAAAAGGGGAAACAAAGGCTATATTGTAGCACCTCCATCGCTGTAGGAGTGATTATTTCAAAATGTACAAAGTGGGACCTCTTTATGTTTTGAAGATCTGTTGATATTCGGGGTCATTGCAGAGATGTGCTAACCGTGAAGTGGTCTATTGTGGCCTCTGTTCTGCTGAGAGCCTGAGATCAGAAATGTCATAGAAGTTGAGCATTTTTTATTGATAACAAGTTTTATGAAAAGGGACCTATAGTTCCGTGATTACATTGCGAAAGAAACAGTGTGGAAGCGATGGGAAAGGTTGATCATGTAGCACATACATGTAAGTATTGGTGTATACTGTGAGGTGTTGGAGTTGTCAAAATTATAATTTTGCCCAGTCTTGCTAAAAGTCATGTATGTACTAGCTGGACACAGAAATGTGTACCGTATTTGGGACTCCACAAACATGGCGGCAGGAAAGTGCATGTGGTCAAAAACAAAATATTTGTCATTTAAAAAAAACGAGGGCATTTGAAGAGCTGTCTTTTTCAGGGAAGATTTTGTTCTATGATACTCTTCCACACTAACATAAAAATGTGAAAAAGCTCACAATTTTTTTCTTCACCTTTCCCAGAACTCAACCTTCTTAACCCTTTGAGAGCGAGCCCGCGCACAGCGATTGTTTCCCCTGTGACGGAGCGATTTTGGTTACATCGCCAGTAATGGAAAATTTGGCGGTGCTTTCTACTTTCGCCTACCATTGCGCCTCATTCAGTCATTTTCGTGATTTTTAGTCAATGTAAAAATGAAAGATCAGACTTTTTTCTTTCTGAAAATATAAGTTTTGTTCTTCAATACGAAAAATAGGTCTGTTATTTTTGAGGGAAATTGCCGTCTTATTTTGCTGAAGCTTCACGTCTTTCCTTTTCAATACACTCACAATACAAAATGCGCAAGCACCTCCGCACCCGCAGATCGGTCGATACCTCCGTTCATTCCCCTATTGTCAATGACAATCATTGTCTTCTGCTAAAGCTCAGCCAATTATCCTACATCCTCTTCTTTCAAAACAGTAATCTTCCAGAGTAGATACTTCTTTACATTTGTTTGTTCCTCTAAGGGTAGGGTCCTGAGATAAGCTGAGATAAGTGTTTCATAAAAGAGGAGGTCCATACATGAATGATTCGCTAAATTGGTCAAGTTGATGAAATGAAAAGGCACTGGTAATTATAGGGGAGAAGAATTACCAACTCCTTTTATCAATGCATACCTTTATACTTACACAGTTTAGAGTAAGGTCGGTTATTTGTAGCCAAGTGAAACACGGCGAATCGCAAATTTAATTTAAAAGGAATAGGTCTTCATGAAAAGGACTACTATAGGCCTAATAATATTATTATATGAATAACTACAATACATCTATCGAAATGTGGAAAAAAAAAGCCCTCTCATATTGACAAGCGAAAATCATCCAATCACTGATGGAAAATCGCCATGTAATCATCTTCACCAACAAAACCAATAATCCAAAGCCTTGAATCAAGGCAAGAATGTAGAACGGACGCGCGCGTACACGTCCGTCTCCAGCTGTACAGTTATTTCGATCCGAACACTAACTTAGGGTAAAGTTGAAATGATATCACCTTTTTCTCGATTTTTTTCCACATAACTTAATTATTTTTTTAATAGATGAGATGAATGAATATATCTAAATAATACTTCAAAGAACTTTAGCACATAATAGCTAATAATAAGCTGGAAACTTTGTCAATAAATTAGGGATTCATCTCGGCTTCTGTAGAAGGCCGTCGTCACAGACTTAACAACTCGCTCGGCTTCTGTAGAAGCCCGTCGTCTCCAAAGTGTTAAACAAGGCAAACCACACAACGTGGTCAATTGTCGTGAATGAGTCAATGTGACACTTAAAGATGAAGTTGAGTTCTGGTCATGCGATTGCATTGTGAAAGAAACGGTGTGGAACCGACCAGAAAAGATTGATCATCTAGCATATAAGAATTTGTATGTATTGCAAGGTTCTGGAATCATCAAAATGATAAGAAATTTGGCCAAGTTTTGATAAAGTTACAAACACTGTACACAGAAAGATGTATATGGGACTACACGAACACGTAGCGTAAAAATTCGCCCCCCCCCCCCCGATTTTTACGATGTTACATGCATATTTAGAATATGAAGGCATTTGAAGAGCCATGCTTTTCAGGGAACATATCTTATCTGATGTTCTTCCACACTTGCATAATAAGAATGAGTAACGCTCACAAATTATTTTTCACCTCTTCCCATAACTCAACCTTCTCTTTAAAATCATCTTGTTATAGAACAAACTTATAGTGATTACATGTATTCTGCATGATATAGATTATGATTATGATGATGAAGGTAATAATAATGAGAATAATAACAATAATGATGATGATAATTGTAAAATTAATAATAATGATAATAATAATCATAATCATCATCATCAATTGTTGTGATGATAATACATGTAAACATCATTATTTTGACAAGTACGTGTAGTAGTTATCCTTTTCTTCTTATTATTATCATCATATCATTATTGTATGTACCGATACTGCCTATTAAACTCTGCTTTAAAAAAAAAATGATTACCCTTGTCAGAACAATACTGCCTTGACCTGCAACTTGGGGCAATATGTTTCAAATGTTTATATCACAGGCATTATATTCTAATATCCCTAGGCTGTTTTATATTGCATGCTCGAGCACGTATGTAATACAAATTGTTGAGTATCACATTATATTTTCTCAGGCAATTTCTCTAACTAATATCCTATTGTACCCAATTGATTTATTACTCATTTTACAGTACTGTCAGTGACATGGAGTTCCTGAAGCTGGCCAAGGATATCCAACCATCTTACTACAACGCTGTAGGGACATCTCTAGGTTTCTCCTATGCTCAGCTAGAGAACATCCTGATTCAGAAGTCAAATAGCCATACCAACGCATTTTTTGATGTATTCATGAAATGGAATGTCATGCAGCAACCTCCACACTCAAACAAACGGCAGCTTTTGGCAGACAAACTACGAGAGATTGACTTGGGTGGCTTATCAGACAGATTACTCAATGAACCAAACAGCAAAGGTAAACAGATACTAATTATTGCAGTCTTGCTATGTCAACAGAAGATATAGAAAACCATGCATGAAAGTAAAGTCAGTTTTTACCATCTAGATAAAGTGAATGATGCTCTGTGTTCTATACATGTACATTTGCCACAATTTACAGAAGTGTCAAATATTTCAGGCCCCATGTATGTTTTTGTAATTTACTAATTTAACTTTGTTAATCTTAAATTTTTCTGTACACCAGTATAGTACAAGTTCTTTGAGTGACTGCAGAATTTAATGTTTGTCATCTTCCTTTATGTGTACATGTTCTTCAATAATTATATTCTTTTGCGTCATTTCATTATGATAACTATAATTATGCATCTGCCTACGGATGCATAATTGACTTCATGACTTTATACAAATTCAGACAAACATGTAGGACTTTGTGTCTTTACTTGAGTGCATGCACCTATTTGTAGGTCACACTATTAGCCTCATGCCTTTAAAATCTTTTCAGATGTATCAAATACATGTTTATGTGTAATCATGTGAAAATGGATTATCTATGTATTTTTAGGAGGGCCATCAAGACTGCTCGAATCACAGACCAAATCTCCTTCTGCTGGATCTCAGACCAAACCACTTTCTCCTGAACTGGTTGAGCGGTGTGCAAAGGATTTCAAGTTCAAGTACAGGTCAACTCTCTGTAAGATCAGAGCTGATCCTCTCGATCCTGCTTCCATTGTGCAGTTTAAAGACATGTATACTAATCTCTTCTTACTAGAAGAACATGGAAAACAGAAGCGAAAGCTAGATTACAATTATATCCTTGATCTCAAAGTCAATGGAGAGTTCCCCAAGCGGATCATGGTTCAGGGAGAGGCAGGGGCTGGAAAAACTACATTTTGTGCTAAGATTGCCTGGGACTGGATTGAAGGGATGTATTTCAGTCACTTTGTGTGGGTCTTAATTGTTCCTCTACGTGAATTTAAGCAACACACTATTGGCGAGATTGCAAAGTCTTATCTGGACAAAAACAATCCAGCAACGGTTTCTCAGATTACTGAGTATATCCAGTCAAATCCTGGCAAGGTATTCATCGCATTCGATGGGCTAGATGAAGTCAGTGGCGAAATCATGAAGCCAAAATCTTGTGAATCACAGCCTACTGATCAAATGCAACGTCAGCCATCACAGCCAAGTGTCAACTCTTCAGAGGCATGTGGAAGCTCATCTGAGACTGGTGGTATAGGACTTGTAGATATTCTTTGTTCAGATCAACTTGCCTCTTGCCCAGTCTTGGTTACCACTCGCCCTTGGAAAGCAGTAGAGATCAGATCAGATGGTGATCTAATGAAGCTCTACACATTCATTCATGTGGAGGGTTTCAACAGAGAGAATTTGTCAGTTTACATTCACAAATACTTTCCAAATAATGAGGATAAAGCAAATCAGCTTATCCAGTTCACCAGTGAGAATGATGTCATATCTGAAAACATGGCCCACTATCCTATATATGTAGCCATGTTGTGTCTTATGTGGAAAGAAGTTGGTGAGCAAAAACTAAAGGAAATGAAATCACTGAAAACTTTTTCTCAGATATTCAAAACAATGATTGCCTTTCTAAAAGAACATTATGCTCAGAAAGAGGTGAAGAAAGTAGGCAGCCCCTCACTTCTTGCCTCTTTGAAAAAAATTGATGAGCTCCTTGGACCAACTGCCAAACAGGCCCTAAATGGTCTGCTAGAAAATACCTTAGTTTTCAGTGAAGATGATTTCAAAATATGCCCAGAATCCAAGGACACTGCCTGTAGGGTTGGGATTTTATCTCAGGAGGACAGAATTACCACTAGCATGGACATGCATAAAGGGAATTCTTATGTGCAATTGCCAGTCTTCTTCCCTCACAAACTGTTTCAGGAGTACATGGCTGGAGTCCATCTTGCTTCCCTGTATGAATCAGATCGTAATGAATTCAACAGGCTGATTGAGCAAGTAGTGCTGCCAAGGAAGGGGGAGTTCAGGTATCTCCTGTACTTCACTGTGTCACAGCACAAAAGTATTGCAACCCATGTAATGAAGTCTATGCTTCAGGCACTACACATGGCTTTAAATACAGATATAGATTTCATTGTTGATGTAACCTTTGAGAGTCAGGACCCAGATGTAGCAGCCTTGGTGAGGGACAAGCTTTCATCAGAGGAGATTGAGCTGATCATAGACCCAGACCTAACAGCACACACTGTAGCTGGTTATGCATTCATTGGACCACATGTGGTAAGTTTGATCATAGTTTGATAAACAAAATCAGTTCATCCATTTTCTTACATTACATCTTTTTGCAATTTTCTTACAGGACAAGAATATAATTATGGAAGGATGCATCAATGAGGTTTAAACAGTAACAATTGTTAAACTTGTTCAAGTTCAAGTTTTTAAGTTCAAGTTTTTATTGTTCCACATTTTACCAAAAAATATGGACATACATTTAAATAAAAAATTATACAATACATGTAGTATAAATGAGCACGTCTCAATGATTCTCAATTCATATAATAGATTAATTAGAATGTGAGGAACCTATTAAAAAGCAGTGCTTGTATATTATAGGTTCCTGGAAAACTAAGTATTGTAGATGAAGAAATCGTAACAGTAGAGAAAGATGTAATTTAGAGGGGAGAATTAAAAGACAATGGAATAAAGAAATTTGTATTAAAAATAATGCATTAGCACCAATACCCAGAGTCACCAGGTTAAAATGCGAAGTCGAAATGTGTAGTCACCCGAGCAATTTAGTAAGCATAGCACAAAGTAATTTATTTATATATATATATCAAAAAACCGGAACATGGATCATTAATTAGCTAGAACTGCAATCGGTGATGATATGCATGCATTGATTCCCGCATTTCTATTTTTTGAGCAGATAAATAAACTGAGCAATTAGATCAATGGTACTATGTACAATGTACACAACATTACGCACACACATGTATGGTTTTCCATATATGCTTTGGCCTACATGTATATGGCCTTGCATGCTAACATACCAATACATGACGCATATAGAGCAATACATTGTAATGCAGGATATAAAATGGCATGTAAAACGTACAGCTTGACAGATTTTCAAAATTGGGCTATGAGATATGCCCCTGAGTTTGGCCACCCAGAATATACTTTTCAATGCAATTTCAAGATTATTCTTTTAAAGCGACACTAATACGTCACATTATATTATCATACAGAATCGTTTCTCATTAAACTTCGTCTCTGAATTCGAATATATTTTAAATTCATTAATTCTTAAAATACACTAGTAGTATTGGATTATGCACATGCACTTTCACTGCACCAATTTCAAGTGTACAATTATATAATTTAAGAGTTTGCCGCTATTCTCTCGAGACCGCCGTCGAGTTCAAGCTTACCGCTCACGATGGCGGTTACCTGCGTTTTCTGTAATTTATCTATTTTCATTGAAAAATATTTGTGTTTGTATGCATCTCATTTGATGTACTTAAAAATGTGTAATTATGTAAAATGAAGAAAAAATTGTTACTTTATGTATATGATTAAGGTCTATTTTGAAAACGCAGAAATAAAACAAACAAACAAACAAACAAGATAAAGAAATACTGAAAAGGGGCAAAATTCAGTCTGAAAATTGCCATCATAGCCGATACGTGTAACAGTTGGGCAGAAACTCAGCGTAATTCAAATTGTGACTTGCTTCCATGCAGTTTCGATTTACTCAAATTTTCTGAGTGACTATACATGTATACTGCATGTGTTTGGAACCATTTGAAGGGGCATTTTATTGCGGTCATTTTAACCCCATTTTCATCCACACTAAGATATCACATGTACAAGCATGCCACACATTGTAATGTGATACATAGCAAATTCAGCATTTTTAAAATTAACCTTGTGATGATCGATGTCATCAAATTTTTCCAAAGTTGGCAGTCGGTTGATACACATGTATAATTGTCTATCAAGTTTCATAGACCAGTCCTACATGTAGGTATACATTAAAGTTTGCAAATTATTTTGAAATATATGATTCTCGAGAGCAATTTTTTGCAAAGTCAGACAGTGGTATGATGAATTTTATTGTTGTTGTTGCTGACAAGTGTATTATCTTGAAGTATCTAAATCCAAAAAAGGGTACTGATAAAGCCCCAGGCATGATGGAGCTACGACCCCATGAACATCCATTGTCAGAACTTTTGAGGATGCTATTCATATCATGCATGATGTGTGAAATTCAGCAGAAATATGTGCAATGCAAAGATAAAGATGCTGTAAAAATTTCAGACAGAAATTTCTTTTTTTTAAACAAAGTAAGAGTAATTTTTCTTTTTCATTGGTCAATATTTAAAGAACTTAAGCGATTGTTGAAAGAGTTGATTTTGGACCTATATTTAGAGTATGAAGATTGCATTTTGAAGGTTAAGATTAAGAGCAACTCTTGCACTATTTAGAGTAATGTGTTAGAAGTCTGTAGCATCTAGGATAGTGGAGATATACATGTAGGCTGAAGTAAAGGCATGTAAACGCTCCTGAAACGGTCAAAATGGCGCCTGGACGATCAGTTCAGCAGCTAGTGCAGACGATGAGATGGTAAAGCATATGTATACAAAATCTGAAAGGAATTGGGATAGAGAAAAGGACCCAATTAGGAATAACAAGCACTAGCTGCATTCAAAACGAATGTGATTTGGGTGGAAGAGGAATAAGAAAAAATTCAGGATGCGCAAATTGATATAAGGCATTGACTCAATTCAATTACATTATTATGTAGTACCGTATGTACTGGCACATGTATACACATTGCATCTATACCTTTTAGATGAGATAAAATTTGGGGACAGGAAACTTCATCAATAGTTTGCCCATTTTCATCCCTTCAAAAAAAAATATCTCTTGCCTAATTGAAATCCCAATTCTGGGTTTATGAATGTTTAACAGTAGCAAACATGGTAATATAAGCAGAGGTCAACTAAGGAATCTGTTTGATATTCTTGGCCCAGTGTAAAATTGGTGTTATTGATATTGCAACTCTTAACATAAATGTACATTATTAATTTTGATTTTAATTTATCCTATCTCCTGCTTCACTCTCCCTTGGTAAGATTGAATGCATGTACAATGTATGTGCTCATGCCTGGGGTATCAACATTTTTTCTTCTTTTCTCCTTTGCGAGCCTAGATTTTTGCTCTGTATCCGCCCTTTTAATTTAATGATGGTATTCCTATTAACATTCATAAATGATTAAGGTATGATCGAGGCACCAGATGGTGTGGACTTGAGTAATCTCTTTTGAAACCTGTTCTTAGATATAAACTCTCCTTTAAATTTGTTTTAGGATTCTCTGTTTATTACATGTATGGTAAACTAAGATGAGATATTCCTACTGTCCCAAAAATAGGAATTTGATATGAAATGTCATGGCAATAGTTATTCAGCCTGTACCCTTAGTTATTTCCATTTCCCTCTTACTCTCTGTAGTTCTACATGTAGCACCACATTTAGGGCAACCGCTCATGTAGGTTACTCATGTATGGCTTACATCCAAATGAACATCTATATTCTGAATCCCATCAGTAATCAATTTGTCTCTTTATCCAGGTTGAACTCCATATTCAGATAAAGTGTGGACCTACTGTGTCACTTGATGTGGCAGAGATGATATGCTCCATGCCATCCTTGAAGAAAGTTTCTCTTCGATCTGCATTCCATCATTGTTTTTATGAAACACTTGCAAGGAAAGGAAAAGAGTCAAAGGTGAGCAGTTTATCCACAATTGTGATGTATGTGTGAGTTTTTAATTTCATTTCATTCCAATACCATCTCTTCCTTTTTCTAATGTACATTTTACTTTTCTGTAATTCCTTTCAATATCTCATATATGGTGGTTCTTTTGACAGAATGTAAAAAACTAAAAACACGGCCTAAAAAACCATCCATCCGGCAGGCGGAGGCAATGACTTGTCCAAAAAAAAAAAAATGAAGAGAAGAAAAGAAACAGGTTAGTGTCACACTCTTCTTCAGTGGCCTGATGTGACAGATGTTTAAAAACCAAATCTGTTTCTGATGCAGACACACATAAGGTGGTCTGCAACTGGTCAGACAGATTTCAAACTAACCTGTTTCTTGAATCATGCTGGTTCTTTTGACAGAAGAATATATCTTCTCAAAGATTATAGCATATACATAGATCCAATCCAAACAAGGTGAAAAACTTACTTCTTTAAATGCAGGAATATTACTTCACTAAATCCTTAAAAGTCAGTCCTGCAAGGTCTACACTATACATTGATGACACTGATTACTACACAAACTATTGGACGTGATCATGAACCAAAAAATATAACAAAGCTTTGAGAAGATACTAAAGGGCTGCCTGTTAGGCGCACATCATTAGTTAGTAGGAAGCGGTACTGGTGCTGCTAGATTTTAGCGCAGCATTTGATACGATTGACTATGATCTGCTGCTTGACAAAATGGAATCCTACTTTGGAATCAGAGGAAGGGCTCTTTGATGGTTTTCCTCATACCTGGAAAACAGAAAGCATGTTGTTATAATAAAAAAAATGCCTCTTCGCAAACCTACATGTACCATGATAAACATGGGGTTCCACAAGGATCCGTCATCGGGCCCCTTGCCTTCACAATGTACACAGCGCCAATGGAAGACATCATAACATCTCATGGTGTAAATGTAATGCTTTATGCAGATGACACGCAAATTGTATATCGTGTTCAAGCATAGTAAACGTGAAAAATCGTTAGAAAGGATAAAAGCCTGCACAACTGAGGTGAACATTTGGGCAATGAAAAACAAATTGTCTTTGAATGATTCCAAAACTGAAGTTATCCATTTCACATCTAAGTTTCGTCAAGATCCCTACCTATCTAGTGTATATGTCGGTGACTGTCACATTACTCCTGTGCCTTGAGCCAGAAATTTGGGGGTTATTTTTGACCAGCACTTCACCTTGAAAGAACATATAAAAACCGTTTGCAAATCAGCAATGGCAGGAATCATGAGCATGAGTAAAATTAGATGTTTCCTCTCGGAGCAAGGTGCTCTCACTCTGGTGCATGCTGTCCGTGCGTCTGACCCACTTTCTCATTAACGTGATATCTCTAGAACCTGGCCCTTGAGATATGACCTTTAAACTTAATGATAGTATGTATCACCATAGGAAGAGAATCTCATCAGATTTTGGAGCAATTAAATAGGTCAAAGGTCAAGGTAACAAAGGTTAACTTATGATCTTCCAGAAAATAGCACATGTATTTGCTAGTCGATTCTGGTCCCTCTATGGAATTTACAAAATGGAAGATGTTAAATTTTACATCACATAACACAAAATGCAATTAATAGATAAGCAATAATTAGATAAATACAGAGGAGTATATGATAAGTGTCCCTGGCTAGCAGAGTTTGCATGATTTAAATCACTTTCATAGACTGTATCTGGACAACTACATTGTACCCCTTGGACAATTTACCCCCCTCCCTGGCAACTACCAAGGACAATTTATTTGGTGTTAAAGTGTGAGAGGTTAAAATATTGAATGTAAAATGCCAGGGCTAGGAAAAATGCCAGAAGTGACAATTTTACACATCAATCAATTTTGATTTCACCAATCCTTTTCCTAGGTCAATTATAAAATTAAGCATACTAACTCAACAAAGATCACCGCACTAGATGTCAACATTTCCATGTCCCTTTCTACTTCTAACTATGTGCTGTGGGGCGCCATGTACACTCCAAATAATTGATTTTGTCCACGGAATCACTACTGACATTGATTTTGTCAAACCATGAACTGATTTAAAAAAAAAAATCTTTAATCCAAATTAAACATGCCACTCCCAGATTAAGGATATGTTTATGATCAGTTAGACATATATTTGAAATGCTTGAATTAATCTAGAAGAAAGGTAGAAGATTTGTTGATGCCACTTAATTGGTTTCATTGATTTAACATTAACTTAAAACTATAGAATATTAAAAACTAATCCATCCTCCATGAATAATAACTTATTGAATTCCTCATAAAGGTAGAAATACTCTAGTTCGATTTTGTTGTGATAACCATCTGTCTTATTGTTACTTCTCTTGCTTGCACTATGTAATGAATTGTCAAGTATTCCTGTTAAAATTTTAAAACTATTTCCTTCTATACCTTCGTCCTTTCTCTCACGGTCTCTCTGTCTCTCTCTCTCTCTATGTCTTTTTTCTCTACCTCTTATCCCATCTTCTCTCATCATAATGATGTTTCAATACTGGACTAGTTTATGAGACCATGAATTCACTCTTTATTGGTCTTGCCTTGATTTTTGTTTTAAGTAGAATGTATATTTATTCCTGCACGCCCTCTCTCTTTCCTTCATATATCTCATTAAAGTGACTCGGTATTACATTGTTGAAAATTGATGGAAAAACAGCGTATTTTTTTAAAGCAAATGTTAGTTATTATATTCCTTCTACCGTACTAACCCTCTAACATGCCAAAAATCCTGAAATAAAAATATCAAATAAATATTTATGGTTTTCTCTGAAGGCGTCACTGTGCGACACCCTCTAACAGTAAATTCTTCCAACCAAATTTTTAATTTTCCCACCCAATTTTCTATGAAAATAAGACACCAAACAGGCTTTAAACAATCGTTCCACATACTAATGTTTGGAATGGTATATAGAGCCAATTCATTGCTTTGTGACGATTTATATTGACCTAAATTTAATTAAATTATAATAATATAGTTGGGAGAATTCAGGAATTGATCAGATCAGTTTATCTTTAATTTTACATCTAGCAGTGGAATCACTACATTAGCATCATTTTATCTCATCTGCACAATGTTACCAAGTCCCTTTAACCACTTGACTGCGGACCACGTACAATGTACGTGTTCTCGCTCTCGCTTGCCTGTGCGTACCACGTACATCAAGCTCTTTCTGTGCGGCCCGCGGAGCTTTGAAAAAGTAATCATAAAAATAGGTCATAAATGCATAGCAGCGATGAAATAGGGTAAAACATTTACACACAGCTATCTCTATTTCCATAATTTGTTTTCATCATTCGCAACTTATTAAAATTAATAATTGGCCGTATGTCATCAATTATCCCTTACAAAATCCCTTAAAAAATCCTCTAACAAAGCAAGATAATTCTCCCTTGAAAGGAATTTTCAAGGGATTTTTCTGTCTGACACCAATGTTGAAATAATCCCCTTTAAGGTCAGTGTAAGGTCTGACTTAATGATTGGCTGGCATACGCGCTATCATAACCTGTGCACAATTAAATTAGCGTGGATTTAATGAGACGCATTAATTGCACATTACTTTTGATTGAACATGTGATGTCACAATGCTTATGCACCTAAACGGCGAGTGCGCAGGGATTTTTCAAGGGATTTTTCTGTCTGACACCAATGTTGAAATAATCCCCTTTAAGGTCAGTGTAAGGTCTGACTTAATGATTGGCTGGCATACGCGCTATCATAACCTGCGCACAATTAAATTAGCGTGGATTTAATGAGACGCATTAATTGCACATTACTTTTGATTGAACATGTGATGTCACAATGCTTATGCACCTAAACGGCGAGTGCGCAATGGCCCATTAAAAATCCAGATTTTAGTTATCCGGATTATTCGTAGCCTGTCTGTCACCGATGTAAATGAAAAATCTAAAATCTGGTTTATTCAATTCAATTCAATTCAAATGAACATTTATTTTCTTCCAAACAATACAATTTATAAGTAGGAACATAAATATAATTAAAGAACTTGTATTACAAGGAAGAAGGCGCGAAACCCGAAAAGCATAGCTTGTAGTGGGTACGCCAGAATACATAAATACAATTATACAATATAAATGGGAGAAAGGAAGAAAGGAAGAAAGGGATAAGCAAAGAGGAGAGGAGGATAGAGAGCTTGGAGAAAGAGAAAAGAAGAGAGGAAAAGAAGAGGACTGCAACAAGATTGGTTGGGATTTTTCTGTGTGACACCTGCTAGCTATTGACTACTTGGTTGATACAAAACTCCTCAAATTTCCTCTCATTCCATTACATTAACGACATTAACATCACTCGCCGTGTTAATTTAAGTTTGTAATTTCCGCACACAGTAACGTTTGTAAATATACAAATGTTGTGAATCGAAATGCCATTTTTGAAATGCCATACTTATCTTGAAACTTACAACCCTTTTCTCCCGCCGTTGAATTTTCTCATGAATCTTAACCGTAAACTGGATAGTCCCCTTCCCTTTAAACCGCATTCAATGAGATGTACATTGTACAACTAATAAAGGTTAGGTTCTTTCTGCTGTATCCTTGATTTTGTTTAAAATAATAACAAACATATGGCATCGACTTCGAGACCTGCGAAGAAAAGGAAGGTTTCTGATGAAGGCAGAAACTTTAAATCAGATTGATCTCTGAAGTATTTCTTCATAGAAGAGAAATGTAACCCACTTTGCCTCATTTGTCACCAGAGTGTGAATGTAATGAAGGTTAACAACATAGCAAGACATTATGACACGCTGCATCTAGCAAATTATGGAGAGTTACAGGGTGAGGCTAGAAAACAAAGACCTGACAAATTAGTAACCGGTCTAACTTGCTGAAACTTGTCCATCAAATTCCCCCGTAGAAATCACACTAAAAAAGTAAGCCCAATTTTTTTTCCACTGATTTTGTTGTTTGATTATTAGTTTTTGCAAAATTGCAGATGAGTACACGTATTGCATGAGTATGTGTGTGTGTGGGGGGGGGGGGGAACATTACCTACGGCCCGCCAAGTTAAGCCAATCGTTAGCTGTGGCCAGCGAGCTTTAAAGGTTGGCCACCCGTGATGTACATGTACGTGCTTAGTGCATTGCACTTTCAAGACCGAAGCACTGCATATTATGCCTAGCCCTACTGTGTAATTAGCACTGCAATGACGTTATACAGGTCTTGAACAGTAGCTGGCACTCTTCAAAAAAAAAAGATCCAGCAGTGATGTTTCAGTCCCACTAATGATGTTAGTGCGAGTAGCACAGGGGGTATGAACGCTATTAAGCCAGTAGCAGTCAAGTGGTTAATGAAAACATTGTAAAGGCTATACAGTCTAAATATCAGTCAGAATTTGATGTAGACTCACACATAGAGGTTCCTAATGGATTGACAATCAAAGTATTTTGAAAGAATAATATTTGAGAGCAAACTTTTACATCAGTGAGCAGAGACGTACTTTAAGAGATGTCCTAGCTAGAACCCCTTTCTTGGATGCTAACACGATTGTCTACCTGGCTATCAAATTATTTCTCAATGGACTATTTTGGTTAATCTAGCTAGCTTCATGATTAAATTCCCTTTATCACATCGACACTAAAACTATTATCTAATAATAATAATAATACACAATATTTATAAGGCGCTTAATACTGGTGTCTCTAAGCGCACCATATTCTGACTAAACAATTATTTACCAAAACTTATAATAAACACACAACTTATACATCTGTTCTTTATTCAATAAATCATGCATATATAATAATAAAAAATAAGATAAGAGTGAGATCAAACATACATACTGTACAAGAGGTCAAACATTGAGATACCATTTAGATACAAACAGACTGTGTGATGATATATATCAAACAACTAAATATAATTAATTTTGCATTTTCCCAAAGAAACCAAGGAAGCCTCAGTCTTTAGAAACAATGTTTCTTTAATGAGATCAAACTGAGTGATTCTGTCGAACACCTTAATAATATTAAATTTGCATTTTCCTGGGCAAACTAAGGAAACCTTGGTCTATAGATAGAAAAAAATGATGGCGGTGGTGCTCGGTTTAATGGTGTAGGTCTTTCTACACAGTTTTGAGTACAACCAGGGGAAGGTGGGGGAGGTGGGGGGGGGGGGGGGGGAGGATCTGCACATGATATGCATTTTTAAGAGAGGAAAGACAAGAAACTAACAACCATCACATCATGGTATAAATAGGCAATTATGCTCTCCAAACTTCACAACTTGTAGGCCTTGATAACAAAAATTAAAGAGCTATTGTTTGCCATAGGCTCCATAGCACTGTCGTAGACCACTGTTCAAAATTAAAATTTGATCCATTTATTTGAATGCATTACAAAAAAGAAGTCTATTTTTAGGAAACCATTGTCATGTATTTCGCTGTGAGTGTCCTACATTGTCTACAGGTCAGTGGGTATCTCACAAGTCGTACTACTATAACATCACTATTTTAATCAAAATGGCAACTCTCATGCGAGAATGGCCCGCAAGGAAACTGCAAAATATGGAGAGATTTTCGTTCCTTACTAAGTAATCAAATAGGAGTAATTTCAAGATAATTTTGACCGGCTCTAATTTGTTTTAGTAAGGCGATCACTTAAAATTTGTTGGGATTTATTCTCCTTAAAGATTACATGTGGAATATTAATGAACACAAAGACCCTTGAACCCAAGAAGATCTGGAAGCACTGATAGCAACTCCAGAAGAAGAAGAAGACCACTTAATTCCTTCTGATGATTTTTTTTTATTTTTTAATTCATTTATTTATTTGTTTTTGTTAAGAAATGTGGATATAAATACAGGTGTGTTTTACATTTCCTTGGTGACCAATCCAAGAATACAGTCAGAAATTAGTAAATAAAACATATGCATGTATATGTGTGCTGTTTAACTATATTCACAAACAATGCAGGTCCAGACTCTCAAGCTTCTTAAAATCCAGCGTCCCACACCAGCCTCATCACATCACCTAGCAGAAGCACTGTGTTCTATGCCAAACCTCACTGACCTGACACTCGCTGGAGAGGCATTCATTGAGGAGTTCTTCTCTGCATTAAAAGCAAAGGCCTCATCCATACAGGTTTGTGTGTCCTAATGTTAATGTCATGAAAAGGGTCATTGAAAAAAGGAAGTGTAGTAAGGCGAGGCGTCAAAAATAAATATACCAGCCAGCGGCAGCTAACTGCACTTGTGCGTCCTGGCTGCATTTTTTAAATTAGCTCAGCCGGCTACCGCTGGCGGTAGGACCCTCAATTAACTCATGATGTCATCATAATGGTCTCCGAACAAAAGCATGCGCCGGCTGCCGCCTTTCGAATGGAAACCGAGCCTCTGATCCCAGCCTGGCGCAAGCCGGCTGGGCTAATAAGTGAAAAATAATTGCCCCAGCCAGGCTTCGGCCGTAATTGCAGCCTCGATGCGCCAATACGTGAGGCGGCAGCCTGCTGGTATCGATATTTTTGACGCCTCGCCTAATAGTTATATGGTGCACAGTATATACATCTATGTTTTTTCCTCCAAACACCCTTTTTAAAGGCCATTTACTTGGTTTATTGGAACAGACATTAAATAAAAGCAATCTACACATGTACTGATTCAGTTAAAATTCAAGTTTGTATAACATTTACATTGTTTTGATCAATAATCAATATCCAACCTTTTCCAAGTTTGATCGATATGAAAAATAGGTCATACATTTTTTTAAGTGTCAAATTTAATAGAGGCTTGAATTTACCAACCTGTACTAACAATCCTCCTGACTTAGGACCTTGTGCACCTGATATCCAGAGTTACAAATACCTTTAATACATTGATAGCGAAGGTATATTTCCGGGTATTATTAATTTCGATGTTATTACGAGTAGGACTTATCGATACAAACAGTTTGAAAGCGCTACAGAGAATACGTACATAACTTTGAAAAAATCACTCTTACTTAATCATTCTCTTCATAGAAACTTTAGTGTTTTCGTTCTGAGAATAGACTTGAATTGAAAATAAAATTACTTCATTCATTTTTGTTGAGAATGTTATTATGATACAACTATGTAATTAATGGAATTTGTGTAAAATGTAAGAATACAGTCAGAAATTAGTAAATAAAACATATGCATGTATATATGTGCTGTTTAACTATATTCACAAACAATGCAGGTCCAGACTCTCAACCTTAATAATCTCCAGTGTCCCACACCAGCCGCATCACATCACCTAGCAGAAGCACTGTGTTCTATGCCAAACCTGACTGACCTGACACTCGTTGAAGAGGCATTCACTGAGGAGTTCTACTCTGCATTGAAAGCAAAGGCCTCATCCATACAGGTGTGTGTGTCCTAATGTAAATGTCATTGAAAAGGGTCATTGAAAAAAGAAAGTGTAGTAATAGTTATATGGTGCACAGTATATACATCTATGTTTTTTCCTCCAAACACCCTGTTTAAAGGCCATTCACTTGGTATATTGGAACAGACATGAAATAAAAGCAATCTACACATGTACTGATTCAGTTAAAATTCAAGTTTGTATAACATTTACATTGTTTTGATCAATAATCAATATCCAACCTTTTCCAAGTTTGATCGATATGAAAAATAGGTCATACAGTTTTTTAAGTGTCAAATTTAATAAAGGCTTGAAGTTACCAAACTGTACTAACAATCCTCCTGACTTAGGACCTTGTGCACCTGAAATCCAGAGTTACAAATACCTTTAATACATTGATAGCAAAGGTATATTTCCTGGTATTATTAATTTCGATGTTATTACGAGTAGGACTTCAGTTTGATAGCGCTACAGAGAATACGTACATAATTTTGAAAAAATCACTTATACTAAATCATTCTCTTCATAGAAACTTTATTGTTTTCGTTCTGAGAATAGACTTGAATTGAAAATAAAATTTCTTTATTCATTTTTGTTGAGAATGTTATTATGATACAACTATGTAATTAATGGAATTTGTGTAAAATGTAAGAATACAGTCAGAAATTAGTAAATAAAACATATGCATATATATATATGTGCTGTTTAACTATATTTACAAACAATGCAGGTCCAGACTCTCACGCTTGAAGATCTCCAGTGTCCCACACCAGCCTCATCACATCACCTAGCAGAAGCACTGTGTTCTATGCCAAACCTGACTGACCTGACACTCTTTGGAGGGTCATTCAATGAGGAGTTCTTCTCTACATTGAAAGCAAAGGCCTCATCCATACAGGTGTGTGTGTCCTAATGTAAATGTCATGAAAAGGGTCATTGAAAAAAGAAAGTGTAGTAATAGTTATATGGTGCACAGTATATACATCTATGTTTTTTTCTCCAAACACCCTTTTTAAAGGCCATTCACTTGGTATATTGGAACAGACATGAAATAAAAGCAATCTACACATGTACCGATTCAGTTAAAATTCAAGTTTGTATAACATTTACATTGTTTTGATCAATAATCAATATCCAACCTTTTCCAAGTTTGATCGATATGAAAAATAGGTCGTACAGCTTTTTAAGTGTCAAATTTAATAAAGGCTTGAATTTACCAACCTGTACTAACAATCCTCCTGACTTAGGACCTTGTGCACCTGAAATCCAGAGTTACAAATACCGTTAATACATTGATAGCAAAGGTATATTTCCTGGTATTATTAATTTCGATGTTATTACGAGTAAGACTTATCGATACAAACGGTTTGAAAGCGCTACAGAGAATACGTACATAATTTAGAAAAAATCACTCATACCAAATCATCCTCTTCATAGAAACTTTAGTGTGTTAGTTCTGAGAATAGACTTGAATTGAAAATAAAATTTCTTTATTCATTTTTGTTGAGAATGTTATTATGATACAACTATGTAATTAATAGAATTTGTGTAAAATGTAAGAATACAGTCAGAAATTAGTAAATAAAACATATGCATGTATATATGTGCTGTTTAACTATATTCACAAACAATGCAGGTCCAGACTCTCACGCTTCAAGATCTCCAGTGTCCCACACCAGCCTCATCACATCACCTAGCAGAAGCACTGTGCTCTATGCCAAACCTGACTGACCTGATACTCGCTGAAGAGTTTTTCGCTGGATTGGGATTCACTCAGGAGTTCTACTCTACATTGAAAGCAAAGGCCTCATCCATACAGGTGTGTGTGTCCTAATGTAAATGTCATGAAAAGGGTCATTGAAAAAAGAAAGTGTAGTAATAGTTATATGGTGCACAGTATATACATCTATGTTTTTTTCTCCAAACACCCTTTTCAAAGGCCATTCACTTGGTATATTGGAACAGACATGAAATAAAAGCAATCTACACATGTACCGATTCAGTTGAAATTCAAGTTTGTATAACATTTACATTGTTTTGATCAATAATCAATATCCAACCTTTTCCAAGTTTGATCGATATGAAAAATAGGTCATACAGTTTTTTAAGTGTCAAATTTAATAAAGGCTTGAATTTACCAAACTGTACTAACAATCCTCCTGACTTAGGACCTTGTGCACCTGAAATCCAGAGTTACAAATACCTTTAATACATTGATAGCAAAGGTATATTTCCGGGTATTATTAATTTCGATGTTATTCAGGTAGGACTTATCGATACAAACAGTTTGAAAGCGCTACAGAGAATACGTACATAATTTTGAAAAAATCCTCATACTAAATCATTCTCTTCATAGAAACTTAAGTGAGTTCGTTCTGAGAATAGACATGAATTGAAAATAAAATTTCTTTATTCATTTTTGTTGAGAATGTTATTATGATACAACTATGTAATTAATGGAATTTGTGTAAAATGTAAGAATACAGTCAGAAATTAGTAAATAAAACATAAACATGTTTATATGTGCTGTTTAACTATATTTACAAACAATGCAGGTCCAGACTCTCAAGCTTAATGGTCTCCAGTTTCCCACACCAGCCTCATCACATCACCTAGCAGAAGCACTGTGTTCTATGCCAAACCTGACTGACCTTACACTCGTTGGAGAGGCATTCACTGAGGAGTTCTGCTCTGCATTGAAAGCAAAGGCCTCATCCATACAGGTTTGTGTGTCCTAATGTTAATGTTATGGAAACGGCCATTGATAACAGAAAGAGTAGTATTGAGTATATGATGTTCATGTATACATGTCTTTTTTTTCAATTACAAAGACTTTTTTGATTTTTAAATTCATTTACCCGGTACCCCAAATGTCGCAACAATCATGAAATATTGAATGAAAGCAAACTATAGAAGTAAGTATTTGGTTGCAATTCCAGTGTGTATGAGATTAATATTATTTTGATCACTCATCAATATCCAACCCTTTCCAATTTCGATAAAGGCTTGAATTTACCAAAACTATACAATAGCTACATCCTCCTGACTTAGCTTTCTTGTGCACATGAAAACAGTGTTATGAGTACCTTCACTATGTTAATAACAAATGCAGATTTCTGGGTATTATTTGTTCCAGTGTTGTTAGGAGTAAGATGTATCAATGGAAACAGATAAAGGATGTTTTATAAAAATATATAACTTAATCATCCTTCTGGTTAGAACTTAAATGTTATGCAAGAATTGATTTAAAACAAAAATCTATTTAGTTATCTTAAGGTTAGGAATGTAAATATAAATACAGCTGTGTAATACATACCCTCAGTGATAGATATAAGAATGCAATGAGAAATCAGTTCTAGTAAATAAAACAAATGCATGTATAGATTACCTGCTTTACTATATTGACAAACAATGCAGGTCCAGACTCTCGAGCTTCATCGTCTCTACTGTCTCAGACCAGCCTCATCACATCACCTAGCAGAAGCACTGTGCTCTATGCCAAACCTGACTGACCTGACACTCACTGAAGAGTTTTTCACTGGAGTGGGATTCACTCAGGAGTTCTACTCTGCATTGAAAGCAAAGGCATCATCCATACAGGTATGCGTGTTCTTATATAAATGTCATGGAGGGTCATTAAAAAGAAAAATATAGCATTAATAGTTATATGGTGCACATGTATATCTGTTTTTTTTTCTTCCAAACACTACTTTTTTTTAAAGGCCATTCACTTGGTATATTGGAATAGTCATGAAACATGGAAGGAAAGCAAACTATACATGTACTGATTCAGTTGAAATTCAAGCGTGTATAAGATTGACATTATTTTGATCAATAATCAATATCCAACCTTTTCCAAGTTTGATTGATATAAAAACTTGTCATGTATTTTTTAAAGAGCCAATTTTTAATAGAGGCTTGAATTTTCAAAACTGCACTGAAGCAACAAACCTCCTGACTTAGGGTTCTTGAGCACATTAAATTCAGAGTTTTAAATACCTTGAGAACATTGATAGCAAACGTATATTTCTGGGTATTATTAATTTTTATGTTATTAGGAGTAGGACAAACCAATGCAAACAGGTTTAAAGCCGTATAAAGAATACATATATAGTTTTAATTTTAAAAAAAAAATCACTTTTTCTAAATAATCCTCTCCATGGACACTGTAGTGTGTTCTTTTTGTGAAATCCAGAGTTATAAATACCTTTAATACTGAAACTAATCTTTTAATGATCTAATTATTATAAAAAAAAAAAAAAAAAAGACTTTGGCAAGATCATATTTAGTCAATTTGTCCGGCCTGTTCATAGTGTTAATGAGGAGTTTTGCTCTACATTAAAAGCAAAAGCATCATCTATACAGGTATGTGTGTACTAATGTATATATGTCATGGAGAGGGTAATTGAACGAATGAAACAGCAGTAATCGTTATAGGGTGCATATGTATATATGTTTTCTTTTTTTGGTGAAAATGATAGAACAGAAACATCTGCGAGATCTACAACTGTTGTTAGATCTAAATGTTCCCAGTGATATGCTTAGATTTCATTGTAGCAGCCAAATACCTTTGAATATACATGCATACCTTGGCTAATATCAGAATATATGTGATATGAAGTAATTTTCATCCATGTTTGGCATTGTTTAGTGCTTTACTTTTTTTTTTACCTGATATGTTTGCTTAGTAAACACAATAAGTTTCAATACTCATCACTGTTGCAAACCTAAATAAAGACGTGATCTTACCGAGATATCATTCAAAACTATGAGAGCATAATGAGAAAGACAACAACTTCTCAAAATTATTGTAAACACGCAGATACATAACTTGAACAAATTGATGTCCAAAAAATGCCACAGAAAAAGTGATATTTCAGGAGTTATTATTAGGTAAAGCAATCTACCACCTTACTGCATGCCTGGTTGCTATGTCAGGCAACCAGGTATGCATGTCAGGCAGATATCAAACAAAAGCTACGAAGTCATTTAATTACATACATATATACCTGTAAGGATGAACTGATAACATTATGAGTGTAAAAGATCAAAGGCGGATGATAACAGGGTCATGAACTGTTACAAATCCCAGAAAACATCTTATTAGTCTAAAAATTAACCAAAAAATAACCATTTCAACCAAACAAGGCTCAGGTATGTGAGAGCATGAAAATATTAAATGAAAAGAGTTAAGGTTCGTGAGGTCAAATGTTAAAAGTCACAGGATCATTGATCATTGAACATACATGTAGGGGGAGTCATATCAGAGATGCAGTCACATTTATCCTGTTTAATCTGCATTGTGTACATAACATATGGGTAAATGTCTATTTTGGCTGTGCACGGTGCAATCATTCTTGATGCTGGGCAGTAACCAATGGGTGAATTCTTTTAATTTAGTATCAAAGATGCACAAGATTTTAGGCTATAAAGTCAGGACAGCTCGTGGAATAAAATTAATCTCAAACATATTACTTTCAGGAAAGTAGACTGCTTCCACCAACCCAAGCCCTTTAAGGGTTGAATCGTAAAAGTAATGCTCTTCTGTTCTCTGTTGTTCTCTGATCCCCTAATATGAGAAAAAGTATAAAGATTTGTCTAACAGATAGTTGATTTTGATTTACTTGTCGCCGATACCATATTCCACTACTACTGCTATAGTGGATACTACTACCAGTACTAATGTAAATCTCTTGTGCATAATTTGTCTTACCGGGTACTCTAGCTTTTTTTAATTTTCATTTATACTGAACAAATTGCCTAGATTCTCCATACTTCTTTTTTTTCCTTCTCATTTTCATTTTGTTTAAGGGATGTAACTTAAGTTGTTGAGTGTGTATTCCCCAAGAAAATATATAATATGCCAGAATGAAATAGATCCACTTACTTGAAACTGATACAAGTTTTACAAGCAATGTTGCTATTATATGTTACAGGGTTGTTTTCCTCAGATCAGGAAGGGAAACTTCAGGTTCAATGGAGTTGCTCAACATGACTTGAACTCATTTCTTCACACCCTTACATCTTTGCAAAGGTCAGTACAGTAGATGTGATAACAACAAAACAAAAATTCCAGGTAACAGCATGTAGACTTTTCAGGAATATTGCAATATATAAACAATACAGAGAGCCTCTAATGGAATACTAAGAAAAGCTACACTGCTGATACTTCTTCAGGGAGCATGCAATAAAGTGATACTGTTTACCTTAAAAAATGAAGATTTCTTGTCTTACAGTACTGAATATTCAGTAACAGCTTTATTGAACAAATTCCCTACTGTAAAGTAGATCAGTCAACCTAAATTTTGTTGAATTTTTGTGTTCTTTGTATATATGTAAATAATATATATATATGTCTTCTTTTTTTAGGAGGGAGGGGGGGGGGCTATAGTCTCTTATATTGATTTTTTTCTTCATTCACTGATCAAAGGTTTTTTGAGACTAGTACTTTCAATAAGACCAATAGGAGTTGACTTTGTATTTCTCATCTTGCAAACAGATAGTACCGGTAAGAAAAAATATGTTTCCTTTATAGCTCAGCTGACTTGGACAGCTCAAACAACTCAGACAACTCAGCTGACTTGGGCAGCTCAAACGACTCGGACAACACAGCTGATTTGGGCAGCTCAAACGACTCAGACAACACAGCTGACTTGGGCAGCTCAAACGACTCAGACAACTCAGCTGACTTGGGCAGCTCAAACGACTCAGACAACTCAGCTGACTTGGGCAGCTCAAACGACTCAGACAACTCAGCTGACTTGAGCAGCTCAAACGACTCAGACAACTCAGCTGATGCCAACACCAGTGTTACCCCAGACACCCTACCAAGGGGGTGAGGTGCCAATATTCCAGTCTTGCAAGAGTCTCAGGACAATGTCATTGTGGGACAACCTGTACAACAGCCAGGTACATTGAGGACTCGGTCTGATTTTGGGCAAGTCTATTCAGAGAATAATGTACTACCGAGGAATCCTGAGCCTAGTCAGCCCCAATTTATGCCTTCCGATCTCCAATCAGGCATGTCTGCTGGGTTGCTCACCCCTGCTCCATATGAGCCATTCAGTGGTTATTATTGCAGTCCTGAGTATGGAGAGGCTTACTACAATCCTACCTACCATACCACTATGTCAAGTTCTGCTACGTCTCCTAACCCTCCAGTCTCAAGGCATGATCAACCTACCCTGTTAACAGGGTACCTTTCACCAACACAGTATTATGGGAGCACGGGTAGACCAGGTTCTCCCACTCAGGTATCACATTCCACCAGCTTTTCGTCCCCAATCCAAAGTACAAGCAGTACTTGTAGAGGTCATCCTCAACAGCAACCAATTGGTGATGTACACTATCCAAGAAGGACACCATCAGACCATCCTCAGCAGCAACCTATGGGTGATGTACACTATCCAAGAAGGATATTACCATCATCAGACCACCCTCGACAGCAACCCATGGGTGATGTACACTATCCAAGAAGGACATTACCACCATCAGACCAACCTCAACAGCAACCCATGTTTGATGTACACTATCCAAGGAGGATATTACCATCATCAGACCGCCCTCAACAGCAACCCATGGGGGATGTACACTATCCAAGAAGGGCATTACCACCATCGGACCACTCTCAACAGCAACCCATGGGTGATGTACACTATCCAAGAAGGATATTACCATCATCAGACCACCCTCGACAGCAACCCATGGGTGATGTACACTATCCAAGAAGGACATTACCACCATCAGACCACCCTCAACAGCAACCCGTGTTTGATGTACACTATCCAAGAAGGAGATTACCACCATCAGACCACCCTCAGCAGCAACCCGTGTTTGATGTACACTATCCAAGAAGGACATTACCACCATCAGACCACCCTCAACGGCAACCCATGGGTGATTTACACTATCCAAGAAGGACATTACCATCATCAGACCGCCCTCAACAGCAACCCATGGGTGATGTACACTATCCAAGAAGGGCATTACCACCATCAGACCACCCTCAACAGCAACCCGTGGGTGATGTACACTATCCAAGAAGAACATTATCACCATCAGACCGCCCTCAACAGCAACCCATGGGTGATGTACACTATCCAAGAAGGACATTACCACCATCAGACCGCCCTCAACAGCAACCCATGGGTGATGTACACTATCCAAGAAGGACATTACCACCATCAGACCACCCTCAACAGCAACCCGTGGGTGATGTACACTATCCAAGGAGGACATTACCACCATCAGACCACCCTCAACAGCAACCCATGGGTGATGTACACTATCCAAGAAGGACATTACCACCATCAGACCACCCTCAACAGCAACCCATGGGTGATGTACACTATCCAAGAAGGGCATTACCACCATCAGACCACCCTCAACGGCAACCCATGGGTGATGTACACTATCCAAGAAGGACATTACCACCACCACCAGACCACCCTCAACAGCATTTTTGACTCGGCTTTGATCATGCATTATGCCTGTGTATAGAAGGTGACAACAACTAGTTGTTATAATGATAATAGCAATGGCTTCTCAGATATAGTACACATGCCATCATACCATAACACTCAAACATTATTACAATGGTCCTAGGCGGCTGAATATGTAGCGCTTTGGTATATCGGCTGCTGATGTGTACCTGGGTGGAGAGTGGCAAATGTGGATTAATGCCTTGTCAAGGATGTTTTAACATTTTGTTTTTGGTGATATGTATGCAATGTATGAAATACCACTCAACTTTCACAAAGTGAGTTATGAGGTTATGTATATAATATAATATTTAAAATTATCTTATCAAAATATCACTGTATTTGTCTATGTCATTGCACATATGTTCAATAAGAATATAATTAAGTAGAATCTAAATTAACTTGTGAATTAATTACCAGAAATGACCGAGATGTTAAGAGCCATGTTGCTCTAGTTATCATGGCAGCAAACTTGATAGAACTTGGTATACTTGAGAACTAGCTTTGTCTGGTAAGGGTGTATGTCATAGGCCTGACATATCGGTGTAACATTTTATCTGACATTGATTGTTGTTTTAAATTTAGAAATAAACCCAGTTCTAGATTTGAAAAATCTATTTGAGGTAATATTTTTCCAGCATTTTCTTCATATCATTCCAGTGTATATGTAAATATGCTGCTATAATTTAAAGATACATGTCTCTTTGTCAATGAAACATGCCTTAGTTATTAGTGTAATATTTAATTTGAAATAGATTATTGTTTGTACATGTTTAACTACATTCACCAGCACTATAATAAATTCAGTTGAGGAAATATTTTCCTGGATTTTGTTAACATCATTTCACTGTACATGTAAATATTCTGCTATACTATTAAGATACTTCTGTCTTTTGTTAATGTAACATGCCTGAGTTATCAGTGTAATATTTATTTTGACATGGATTATTGTTTATATATGTTATACACTACATGTACATCCACCAGTACTATCTAATTGAGGAAATATTTTCCAGGTTTTTCTATATCATTCCAGTGTATATGTAAATATGCTACTAAAACCATACCATATATGTTTATTCTAATTTTATTCAGTACTGCATTTCAATAATGTTGATGATATATATTCCAGGCTTTTCTTCGCATTATTCCATTATGATTATGCGATGGTATCATACATGTATATTTTGAACTTGTATATGTTTGCCATACTTGCCTTGTAAATAAGTTTTATATTTTAGTAAGTTGGCATTCCTGATTGGCTTATGAGATACAAATGTAAGCAGTACTCGAAGAGTATTCCGTTACCTTGCTTTTTGATCACTGTCCGCTTCTGATTGAGTGATGTCATTTTTATAATCCAATCTGATTTTCATGATAGACATGATTATGAATTACTGAAATTAAGTTTGCAGTGCCTTAGATTTGATGTACCAAGGAGACAAAAATAATTGCGAATTGTAGTTTGATGATAGTGTACTTGTTAATGAGTATCCTATTAGCTGAAACGGTGTAAGGTGACACTCAACATTTTGTTATATTTCCATGACCGTGCAATATAACAACCTTATTTTGCATGTTATAATGCGTGCAAAAGAGAATAAGACTGTACATATCTCTTCTAGTTCTCTATGCGTACCCATTGTTTGCATTGTCTTAACTGCACGCATCTGACGCGAAGGCAACCTGAAAGTAATCAAGAGGGCATGACTCCAAAGGTTCGCAAATACCAACAATTTTATATAACAAATATTGCATGCATTTCATTGTTTAGTGTTATATGTATTCATCTCCTAATTCAGTATTCCCCTCGTGCCGTTATATTTCAACCTCGGCCTATGGCCTCAGTGAAATATAAGATTGCTCAGGAATTTCTGTATTTTTTCAGTTCATATGTACATGTATACATATAGATATATATATGTACGTATTGTTAATCTATGCAAATGTGATGACTAAATGAAGATGTAATGATATGATAATTTCCTTTGTCATTTTGATTAGATATACATTGTTGCTTATTTTTGTTTATAAATTCTAGCACATGATTAAGGCTACAAGTATTTTCATCAAAATATCAAAATGGTTGATAGTAAATCTAATACATGTAACTATTTTTGATAGATGTGGGTTAGCAATATATATCTGCTGCGCCAATATTTTATACTTCATAATTGATGTGTATCATTTTGATAGCATTGTTCTTAAAGTCCGTGATACAAAGTGTATTACCCTTCAACCTAATCTGACTGATACCAGGAATATGTTCGAACGTCCAAGAAAGGTAGTGAAACGCATCATAGCTGCAGTGGATTTACCATCAATGGAAGATCTGTACCAGAATAATGTCCTTTCTAAAAGTGATACAGATAATGCAGGACCCAAGCTCACATCCACTGAGTGTAAACTGATTAGGAACACACCTGTGTGCACCGCGAACTCAACGTGCATGTTTCCGGGATGTTTCAGACAATCCTTTGTCCCTAAGTCTATTGTTTATCCGTCTGTTTAACTCCAAAGCAAGACGAGTTTCACCATCATGAAGTTACTTAGCTTGTAAATGTCCAACAGTGTACAGATTTGTCATCTCTCTCTCTCTCCCTTTTTACTCTTTCTCCTCTTTCTGTTGTTTTATATCCCCCTACTCGCTCTTTCTCTCCTTTTCTCTCTCTTTCTCTCTTTTTCTCTCTCTTTCTCCCTCCATATCTCTCTTTCTCTTCTCTCCCCTGTATCTTTGCTACCATTCCTACTTGTGCACATACATTGCCAATACATAGATTTCATACTGTATCTAAATTATCAATAACCAATTAAGCCACAAAATAATAATGTACTAGATTGTCTAAACATAACATGATCTAGCCACACTATATCAATGGCACTGAATGTAATATTTTGTCGTTTTTGGATAAATAATATTGCATGAGTAATAAAATGCAGTAAGTATATTGGTAGGTAAGTAATTACCATCAGTGATATGGATAATAATACTATTGATTATAATAATAATGATAAGCTCATTTTTATATTAACCTGTCTGATGGAATTGATTGTAAGGATGACGATATATTACTCGAGTATTTTTGTATGTTATGTATGTATTTTGTTTCATTATGTGTATGTTTATATTGTATAACTTGTACCAACCAGCGGAAATCGAATTTCCTGATACGGACAATGAATTATATACTTGTACCTATACTTGTGTCATAAGAAATCATGATTCTAAGTTGATTAAAAAAGGAAGATTTAAATATACCTTCTGTATCTATGATCTCTTTGTGTGATGTGAAAGCTAGGAGAGACATGGGAAGACGATGAGAGAGAGAGAGAGAGAGAGAGGGAGAGGGGGGGGGGGGCTAGGGAGGAAGGGAGAGGGAGAGATGAGAGAAACACTATTTTATAGTGAGTATTAAAGAGAGACAACAAAAAAAGAGGTGCAGAAAAGCGAGATGCTTATTTAGAAAACTTAAAAACATGAGTGAGAGGGTAGTTTTTATAAAGTGGGTATTGAAAAGAAAGCAGCCAGGGACAGAGCATGGGGAACGGTGATGGCTAGATGACTTTGGAGGGAGACTGAATGAGAAGATAGAGAAATAGTGAGCGAGAAAGGAGAGGAGGATCACAAAGAAGATAGAGCGGGGGGGGGGGAGCAATGTTGATGAAGAGAGATACGAAGAAGGGTGATGAAGGAAGAGGGGGGAGGGGGTGGGGTGCAAATAGAGAGAGATACCTGCATGTAGCAATGAGTGATAATGGGGATGAATGATGGGGGGAGGGGGTGGGGTTAAGAGAGAACGAGCAGGAGAAACGGTAATAGGGTGATACAGAGAGATAAGAAACATCAATTATTGTAATAGACTGAGAGGAAAGGGGAGTAGACAGGAATTTAGTGAGGAGCAGAAATATGGAGGAATGAAACATGAGAGATAGAGAGAGAGAGAGAGAGAGAGAGAACAAAATAGTAAGAGACTGATACCAGGAGAAATGAATGGAA